GAGAGAGAGAGAGAGAGAGAGAGAGAGAGAGAGAGAGAGAGAGAGAGAGAGAGAGAGAGAGAAAAGAGTGAATGCAAAAAGAACAGGGGGACTGGTTTGTTAAATTTGCCTGGAAAGGTATTTGGGGAGAATTCTGATTAGAAAGACAAAAGAGATAATAATGAACAAAATTTGGAAAATGCAGCGTGGCTTTATGCTGGGCAAGGTGTGAGCAGATTTTTCCCCTTCAGCACTCAGAATGTAGAAAGTTTATTGTACATTGATTTAGCAAAAATGTGTGATAAAATGAGAAGGCTTGAATTTTAGAAGTTTTGCACACATATGGAATATGAATATGACAAAAGTAAAATATTTATGAGACTAAATGTTATGATGTTTCTATACCTACAAAGATCAGAACAATGCAAACAATAGTATTTGCTAAGATACTCAATGGAAGTGAAATTTGGACTGTGAAGAATTAGGAGAGAAAAACTATTGATGCTTTTGAGCTTGGAGAAGACTCCTGAGAATATCATGGACATGCAAGAAAATAAATGGATCACTGAACAAACCAAACCAAAGTTCCCACTCGAGGCACAAATGACCAGACTAATTTGGACACAATATGCAAAAAACATATCGGGAGAAGGCTCTAATGCTGGGAAAAGTGGAAAGAAAGAGAAAACCAGGATGACTAGCAGGAAGGTGGATGGATTCAGTTACAGTGGCAAAAGATGCATGATTGGAAGACTGAAGGACCAGGTTAGGGACAGATTGTCATGGAGAAAATCTATCTATGTGGTTGCTAGGAGTTGATACTGATTTGATGCCAAATAATTAGTCAAATGTTATGCTTAGTGAATGGCACAATGTTGATCAGGGAATAAGAGAAATATGTGTGTGATGTTTCTTTGGTTGTTTAATGCATAATGAATACTGTATAAAGAATACTTGTGACATTAGAGGAGTGTTGCTTGAAAATGTGAATATACATAAGCTTTTATATGCAGATTATGTTGTGCTGTTGCTGATAACACAAATTCTTTGCAGCAAATGTTCTGCAGTGAGGAAATATATATCTGAAAATTAATGAACCAAAGACTAAGGTAATAGTGTTTGATATAGAAAACTGACTGAAATATTGCAAGTTATACATAAATGACAAAAAATATGTCATGTTTTGTGTACTTCGATGGAATGGCTGTGTACAAGATCATGCTTCTGCCCACTTTGTTAGATGGTACTGAAACTTGGATATCTTAGAAGAAACGTAAAAGCATGCAATGGGAATGGGCTATTTAAGAAGTGTATGGGAAAAGAAGAGATAGGGTCAAGAATGTATGGATGCTGAATATTGGAATTGAATATTCCAATTATACTTTGTTTTTTCTTTTATATGGCATGCTATGGGACAGTCTATCCCAACATAAGAGAGGAGGCCAAGGAAGAGATATGTGTGTGCATTTTCTCAGGAGTTTGAAAGTTCAGTATTTCTGATCTTCAGTAGTAGAATATACTTCTTCCCTCAATTATATATTTTAAAAGCAATGAAAGAGACTGTCTCTCCATTGGCAATATTATCTCCAGCTTCTATCCATTTTATAGGAAGACACTATTGAAAGCCCATGTATAATCAAGGCTGGTACTGGATTTTTGAAAACCTCTAAAACCTCTAGGTTTTCTCAGTATGTTGAATCATATTTTCCTACTGAATCAGCCTTGGAACAGAACTACCCAACCTTTGGGGCTAGTAGTTTCATTCATGAAATTGATTACATACAGTTAATATGATTACTCCCCACACATTTCATAATGTTTCCTTTCTCTTCCATTAAAATTGATGATTTGGCAGCAACATTTGGAGGGACTATGGGAGTTGTTTCTAAAGCTTTGACGGGGGCTGCACATGGACTGGGCCTTAAACTGTGGAGCCTAGCCATACGAGAAGTGGGGAAGGTTTTTTTTTTTTTTTTTGAAGGGGGATGGTACTTCCTCAGCCCAGTGGGCTCTGGAGACTTTGAAGAGCCTAGGAGAAGCTTGACAACACAGGAAATGAACTTTATCTGCAACTACAGGCACTCATAAACTTTCAAGCAGCAAATTCATCAGGTAGGAAGCATGGCTCTGGAGAGTCTGCTGCTTTAACATACAGCTGCAAAAGCAAGATATTTATGGATTTCATGAGCTGAGAAAGTTTTCAGGAATCATACAATAAGCCCATGTGAATACTTAGCTCAACTGCTGAACAGTAAATATGCCATCGAAGGACAAACTATACATTTTTCCTAAGGTGTTAGAACTCTGATCAGAGGATCTTTCTTTGCCTCATTCATAGCAAATATGGTGCTCATAACATTCTATTGCCATCCTCCATAGAGGGCTGTAACCAGGCTCTGTGGCCTCACTAACTTTCATTTGTGGGTTTTGGCCATTGCAAGAAACAGGAAATACAGTTGAACTCTAACGACCAAGTTTCTCATATGCTTATGTTTATATTTACAATGCTTTATTTATAAAATAGTCAAGTCAACAAAAACAGTCCATCTGGGTGGGATGTGATGATTCCAAGTTAAAGACTGCAATTAAAATCAGTTTTTAAGATTTCTGAAGGTTATTCTGACAGAACAAGCCAATAGCAAATAATTAATATTATTGTGCAGCTTTAAGAGGTTTCTAGCCATTCATAATATCCTCCTCCTCTTCCTCCTCTCTTTTTATTCCTAACAGTTAAGAATTGTCTGTCTGTCCTGATTTGACATCAGTTAGTAGGAACAGATTGTATGGGAAGACAGTCTTCTACAATGCATTGCAATAAAGTCATAGTATTGCCCAATCACAGCATAGGTAGGTGTAAAGCAAAATTGTGGGTCATTAAACATTTCATTTGGGCTTAGAGGGAAGGAGAAATTCAGGAATAAATCTCTGCTAAGCTAAATGACTAAGTATATTTTTAGAAAGTATACAGCTAATCATATGACTTCCTGGTTCAACTACTAAACAGAGGACATCCAGAGTGAGATGGACACACTAGAAAAATGGCATTTAAATTTTATTATGCATTAAATACATATAACTTCTAAAGTAGTCTTAGGCAAATCATTCTAATAATCTTATTGTAGAAAGGGTTGATTATGAACTCCTTGAATAAAAGGAGACAATAAAGAAATAAATGCATACAGTTCCGCTGCAACCATGCACGCCTGGAAACAGACAAGACTGTCACACACAGGTTCACATTCGTGCATACACATCTCCCAGATAAAATCTGAAGCACTGCACAGTCTTAATGCTAATAGTTAACCTAAATCATAGTGACTGGATTTGCATAGCACTCTGAAATATAAACTTCCATTCTGGTTGTGTTTTCACAACACACGAAGCTATGAATTGGCCACACAGGGATCCACAGAGAGGACAACTGACCCCATGTGTGAAATGGCATCATTGTGCAAATGACATGATTTGTTTACTTTTGACATCATTTTGCCTTCTATCAGATACTTAGGCCAACCACATTTTAGCTTAGTTTATTGTATTAATACCAAGCCCTAAACTGGCTTTATTTTTAATTATTTGTGTTCAGATATACTTCTCTAATTTTATTTCTGCTTCATTTCTACCATCTGGTGGTTTTCCTGAAAGTTTATTCTTTTAAATTTTAGTTTTATTGTAGCTTCAGTTGTAATTTTAAACATTTTAAAACATGCTGGTTGAAAAATGTTTTTATCTAAGTCAACTTGATTGGTTGATTGCTAAGAAAAACTTGGTTTGAAAGGTGACATTTAATTCTTAAATTAATAAGCAAACCATGACTTCATTTTACCTACAATGCTGGCAACTAAGCTTTTGCTTGGTCATCTTTCTTCTGACACTCTTCCTGATTTCACCAGATTTCATTTTTATGCCCTAGATATTGATGAATGTGCCACTGGCAGAGCAGTTTGCTCTTTCAATCGAAGATGTGTCAACACCTTTGGAAGTTTTTATTGCAAATGCCAGATTGGATATGAACTGAAACATCTGAATGGCAGATATGATTGTGTAGGTAAGGCTTAGATTTGGTTCTGCCTATATTTGTGGAAAGACAGACATTTAGCAGAAATTTGTGTGTACGTCTATAACTGATGCCAGAAGTCATTTCAGAATTTGGTTTTATTCAGAATTTTGTTTTGGGATTTTGCTAGGTCTGTATTAACTGATGACAATGAAAATTAAAGTTACAGAAGGTGCCTCTATTGATGAGGACTGTGCATACTTCAAAAATGATTTTATAAAGATGGCTTGGAAGATGCAGAAGCAAGCACGGCATCTCTTAAAACAACTACATCTGGCTTCCATACAAGCCTGAATACTAACATGGCTGCTTTAATGAGTTGCATTAAAATGGCCTGCTTGAACACAACATCATGTTCCAAATCATGCACAGTGCTGTAACTGCTATGTTTCTTATTAGATGTGTTAGGCACCACTAGTGCAATATTCCTGCTTCCCTATGGGAAATAGACTACAGTGGTACCTCGGGATACG